CAGCCAAGCGCACTGTGTCTGGTGTCGTCGCTCATTGATGTAGGTAGACTTTTGCCATTAATTTTATTGATGCGACTGAGACGCTGTCAAACTGACTCGTTGTCACCGACCTTGCCGACGTAGGGCCCTGAGCTAGCTAACCTAGACCAGCTGATGGCGCCCCTGATCAAGGAAGTCAACGAGCTGTCGTCGCGCGGGGTTGACTTGCGAAATGCATTCACTGAGACCGCCGTACGTGTCAAAGCTCAAATCCAACTACTGTCAATGGATTCTCCCGCTCGTGCCAAGGTGCTGCACATCATGGGCCACTCGGCCCAGCTAGGATGCAACTACTGTCCGAGAAAAGCCGGCCCTTGCGAGTGCGGCCATCATCGCAACTGGGGCAATTTGACTGCCACGCAATACGCCAACTACGATTACATTGACCATTCCCAGCGCAAGCCAGGCGGTGGCGCGTCTTGTTTGCGGGGATTGACCAACTTTCCAGCCAACGGACACGTTGAGCGGAGTATGTGCTCGTTGGATACGCTGCACAGTGTTCTGCTTGGCAGCTGCAAGCGACTTCTGAGCAACACAATTAACAAGATCCTCACCGACCCACGGGCCAAACAGAAAAAACTGGCAAAACTGGATGCGTCATTGAAAGAGACAACCTGGCCATCCTTTGCCATGCGAGTCCCTCGCAAAGTGTCGACACAGCACGGTTTGTACACGGGCGAGGAGATTCTGAATTTCGTGCTGGTCTGCGCAAGATGGATCTTTGCAGACATCGCCGGCTTGCCTGGGTATCATCTGATGTGGCTTGATATGGCCGACATCGTGTTCATCTGCGTGACAAAGGCCATCGACATCAGCAGAATCCCAACGATCGAGCTGGTCATACAACGCTACATTGAAAGCGCCACGGCGGCCAATGGTCCTTGCGGAATGCCAATCACCACGCATCATTTGACTCACATTGCATGGGCTTGTCGGCAACACGGTCCTCCTGCGCACGTCTCGACCATGGTGTTTGAGAGGAAAGTCAACGAGCTCTGCCGGCAGATTCCTCCCGGCACACAAAACGACATTCTAACGCGATTCGTGAACAAGGTGATCAACGACTCCCCCTCACAGCGCAGCCAGCACGCTGGCTGCG